TTTTCTGATGTATTGTGTAATGTCAATTGTTTTTTTTTTCCTTCCTCCTTCACCCCTATTTTTGTACTTCGATATATTTATTTGTAGTTTCTGTTCGCTTTTAATGATTCACAGGTATATATGTTGAAAGTAGAAGGTATTGCCTTCCGCTTTTTGCCAGATCCGGTTCAGATAAAGAATGCTCTGGAGGCAAGTTTTATTTGATCTTGTTGTCATTCTCATGGCTAGGATTGTTTTATAGAGTATCACATGCTATGCTATATTTTATATTCTTTCATTCGGCATCTAGATTTTCGTTTCTATAGAAATAACAAGATGGATAAGAGATGCAAGGCTGATATTGGCTAGATACCAACTACAATAGCTTAATCTAGTGGTCAAGGGGCTGGAGCTATAAGTTCAAATTGTGACACCTGGTGACACCTGAGTAAAATAGGGGTACATGATTGAACTGAGACTACAATCGAATCAGAGCGATTCTCAAGATAGAAGGGTTAAGAATGACTTAAAAGAATTAAAAGTCACTACTTAAACCAACAAGGTGCATCTTCCTTTTTGGTGGCTCAATCCTAAGAAGTTCATAGCTAAGCATGATCTGTTTGGAGCAATTTTATTTTGGGTGACCTCCTGAGAATTTTCTTAGGATGCATGTGAGTGAAGAGGAAGCATGCTGAAAAGACTTGTGTTGGTTTGTGGGGGTAGTCTTCACTCTTAGAAGCGAAGAGTGATTAACGTGAACATGCTGTAGAGATGCAGGGGAATACGGAGTCCAGGCATCAGGTGTCAAATCCTGATATGTACCTTGGCAAGGGTCGTTACAAATGGTATCAAGTGGGTACTTCTTCCAGTAAAATGTGGTTTGTTAATGAACCAAGGCAGAAATTGGTGGGCATGTGACACCCGAGTGAAGGAGGGGTCCACGAACAAACCGAGACCACATTTGAATGAGAGCGATCTTGAGGATAGGATGGCTAAATCATAGAAATTAAAAAAATTGAAAATCATTTCTTATACGAACAAGGTTACCATTCCTTTTCGATGACTAGGAATTTCATAGTTAAGCGTACTTTGCTTGGAGCAATTCTATGTTGGTTGATCTATTGAGAATTTTTCTAAGATGAATGTGAGTGAGGACAAAACATGCTGGAAGGACTCGTGTTGGTTTGTGGGGATAGTTTTCACTTTTAGAAGCGAGGAGTAAGTAATGTGACAATGTCGATGGAATGTAGGAGAATGCCTGAGTCATTAGGTGCTGAATCTGGATTTTGAATCTTGAGCCGAATCCTGGGCATAGGTCGTTACACAAACTAGTGGCTACAACATATTGGAGATATTAAAATCCCTATTTTTTTTTTTTTTTTTTGACAACCAAACCAAATGGAAAATGTTGTAAGTTCGATGTTTTCTCACCATTAACGTGTGGCACTAATTATATGCATATAAGCTAGTTGATTACCATTAGGGTTGAAATTGCTTCTGAATATCTTGAAAAGGCATATAAGCTAGTTGGTTGCCGTTAGGGTTGAACTTGCTTCTGAATATATTGAAAAGGCCTTGGCATTTCAATTCGGTGCTTGAGATGTTACTTCATTTCACTTTTAAATAAAGCATTTACAAACAATATCTAACATTTTGAATATGCTGTATTTCTGTTGACCAGAAAATTGTCTCATAATTGTATCTCTTTGTTTATATAGCTCAAAGCTTCGGATACACAAAGTAGTTTTGATGGAGTTCCTGTTTTTCAGGTACGTTGGTGCACTTAGTTAAATGGTTTTGACACAAAGGAAAAAATCAGCATTGTGAAAACGTTGGAATGACCTATAAATTGAATCATTAGCCTTTCCAAAATTCTAATGCAGAGCATATCAGCGATATCATGACTGTGGTTGTGCATAATTCATAATGCATGGTTATAATTGGTTTGACAGTTCCCATTATTTTATCTCTGTGTATAGTTGGGTTGACATGCCTTATATCCTTCCCACTTCTCATAATATCAATGTTTTCTCTTTTTTGCAGTCTGACCTTCTGATCGTGAAAAAGAACAACAAGCGTTATTGTCCTATATACTTTACTAAGGTCTGTATGCACATATAATTTCTGAGGAACTATGGATCGTGGATGCATCTAACCATTTACTGGAAATATAGGAAGATATTGAAAAGGAGCTGTTGAAGGTCTCAAAGGCATCGAGAGGATTAGGAACTTCTCAACATATTATGGTATATGATTCTATCATATTTTTTTTTGTTACGTTCTATTCATTGAATGGGTTAAACTTTGTGGCTCGATCAGTGCCCAGTGCTCCCTGTAATATGGTGTTATATATATATATTTTTCCTTCTTCTGCGTTTTGATACTTTACCAGAGTCCTATTCAGGCAGATGTGACAATGATGATGAATCTGGTTTAAGCTTTAAATACAAACTAAAATGTCTTGAATTATTATCCAGCGAGTGAAAATTTGTGTTGCATGTTTCTTTCTTGTGAAAAAAAATTATCTGTTCAGTTTGTCCACGATTATATTGTTTCTTCTCTTCATTTAACTAAAATTGTAACACAACAGGTTGGTAGTTTGGAAGATGTTCTTAAGAAAATGGAGGTGAGGTTTCTATATCTCAAGTAGTAGGCATCTTTTAGAATATAGAAATTGTATTCTTTCTTACTTTTCTTGATCAATAACAGCTGAATGAGAAGAATTCAGCCTGGGAAGATCTGATTTTCATTCCTCCTGGCAAAAGCCACTCTCAACACATTAAGGAAGTGGGCAAAGCATGACATAGGCTGCGAATTCAGCTAACAGTGTACACGAGAAGAATGAAGGAGCACTGATTCAGCCAACTGAGGTTAGAAAGCAATGGAATTCTATTATAATTGACCTCATAGGAGAGGAATAGTAAACACTAACGCCCTTTTTTTTTATCTCCCTCATTAGACGTGACTGGATCTGGTTCAGACATAGTTTTGAGAGGTTGATGAAGCTAATGTCTTCTCTTTTACGTTGAGGAGTTTAGTGAATATATCGCGGCTGGATTTCTCAGATGTGTTGAACTTGATTTTACTTTTGTATAGCTTTTGTCTTCTCTATTGGACGTAGTTTTCTTCTGTAGATTAGAATCTCAATGTACTTTTCTCAAAAATACGTAGCCACAATACTGAATGGCGGTTATTTATGTGGGAAGGGTATCAAAGCTGACAGGTTTATTGCAGTATTTGATTTCCTCAATAAATGAACTTTGTTTGTTTGTTTGTTTGTTTTTTTTTTTCGTTCAACTCGAAGGTTGTTATGACTTGTGTTGAAAAAATAGCAGAATTGGTGTCAGAATTTGGACATTTTGTTTGAAATGTATTAGTAGTTGTGGGACCAATCTGATTGCTTCCTTTGCCATTCCTAGTACCAATCTCTTCTTCATCTTCATCTTCATCTTCATTTAGAAAATTGTGTCCAACTTCCGTGTTCTATTATTTGTTTTTACCTCATTAATGGAATCAAATCAAATGATGAAAGATTTTAATGATTAAAGATGGAAGATGAAGGGTAGTCTCCAATGTTAGATATTTTTCACTTTTTAGTCGTGTGAGTTTTTTTAATATTTTTTTAATATTTTTTTCGATCAAAGTTTATTGAGAATTTAAGAGACAAGTCCATCCAAAAGAGAAAAGTTAGTTATTTCTCCCTCAACCCATCTTAGAAAGTGACATTTTCTTTCTTAGGTGGCTTAATTTCTTTAAGAAAATTTATATCAACTCGTATCAAGTCGTAGCTAATATATCCCAACAACAAAAATAAAAAAAAAAGTTAAAACATATAAGAATCAAATCAAAATTAAAAAAATAAATTATCCTTGCTAACTCAAAATTATGCCCTAATGTCTAAAAAAATAATAACATTTGACACATATGGACGACAGAAAACAAGATTGGAAAGAAGAAATATAAGAACGCGCCAGGTAGGGGTCGAACCTACGACTTTCTGCTTAGGAAACAGACGCTCTATCCACTGAGCTACAGGCGCCTTGTTGGCTTATAATAACAGACAATAAAATTTTAAAAATATAAGTATAGGGAAAAAAAATTTAACACGCACCAGGTAGGGGTCGAACCTACGACTTTTTGCTTAGGAAGCAGACCTATCCACTGAGCTAGACAATAAAATTTTATAAAGATAATTATAGAGAAAATAAATTGAACACGCGCCAGGTAGGGGTCGAACCTACGACTTTCTGCTTAGGAAACAGACGCTCTATCCACTGAGCTACAAGCGCCTTGTTTGTTATACGTTGACAGAGCAGCAACACGTCAGCAGCGTCCTTCCCACGTCAGTCGCCAGCTGTACTTTTCGGAGCATTCCTTACAGCAGCATGCATTTGGCTCTGGTTACGTGCCATACGCTTACTGGTGAAATCTCCTTTCCCCATAATCACCGAAAATCCTTCAATATCCCCGGAGGACTAAACGGTCATTTACTTCCACGCAAACAAACACCAGCAAAATACCAAAATGAAAATTACAAAAAAGGACGACGCCACCGATCTTCGGTCAATCCCACCGCTGGATCCGGTTGTCGGCGGCGACGGTCAGTTACTTGGAGAAATAAATCTGTAATTTTAATTTTATTAAAAGAAAAAGAAAGACAAAATGACTTCCACAAATAAAGGAAATAAAAAATAAATAAATTAGAGAGAGACAGATGGATGATGGTGTGTGGGAAGAAGTGGGTCCCAGGGACGCGTACCGGCCCCCTCTTTTTCTCATCCTAATTTTAACTCACTAAACCTCTTCCCCTTTCCTTTTCATAATCTTTTTCTTTATTTCTTATTTCTTATTTTTATTTTCTGTTTAGTTTAATTATATTTATTTTCTTCTTCACAATCTCCGGTGATCATTATTTGTCATTTCCGCTTGCTTTTGACTTCTTCTTCCTCTTCCCCCTCCTCCTCCTCCTCCTCCTCTGCTGCTTTCTCACGGTATGCTTCTCTGCTTCTTCTCCCACTCTCCCTCTTTTGTTTTTTGTTTTGATTCTATGGACTTTGTTGCTTTAATCTGCTTCCTTTGCTTGGATACTTGTGAGTTCGTTCGCGCTTCTGCCTAGGTGCTTTTGCTTCTGTTGATTTGTATTATTTGATATCTTCGATGCGCTGCTTCTTTCGTATCTGCCACTGTGCAAGAGGAGTGTGATTTCGCGTTCAATGCTTTCTGCTATTTCTTTCCTTAATCGGTGTCATTCAATTGGAGTATGATGTTGAATTTTTCCTTTCGTTGTACTGTCATTCAATTGGTCTGTGAGTTGTTTTGAGCTTCTTATTTTGATTTCCTTTCTGGAATCCGGCTGCTGTAGGCGGAATGGAATGCGGAAGCGCTTCATTACTACTCTGTTTTCTCGTTTTTGGAAGCAGAAGAGGTTTTTCCGATATTTGGACTAGACGTCGACGTTAATTATTTTCCAGGTTTGGTGATCGGCTGTATGTTTAAATGCTAAGAATTTGTAGGATCGAAACATGAGAGCCCTATAAACTTTTTACAAATGATCTAGTGGCGCATCCTTTTTGGGTACTGGAAGTATTTACTACGTCTTCGGGGAAACGCATTGGTGTAACAGAAATAATTAGATGGTTTAGAGTCATCGATTCAGTCAATTAGGACGTATTCCCGAGCAAACCTGTTATCGCATGGTTCGAATTAAAGTCGCTGCCATGAAGCTCAAAATGGATAAATTTTTTAATAATTTTAACCTTAAATCTTGGGTGCATGCCAAATCGTGTACCTGTTGCATAGCTGTGGATAAATGTATTAGGGAATGTTCCATATTTATAATTGGGACTGACAACTATTGCTCAGATGGGTCTTTTTGCTAGAATTGGAAATATTGGTGTCATTGTTTCCAGTAGAATGATATATATGTCTCGTCAAGAAAAAGTACAGTGATATTTATGGAGAATATTAATGTTATTAAACCACAAGAATTTGTGAGCAAAAATATGACATTTGGTAATAAATGTTGATGGAACTGCTCTATGAATCGATTTCTTGTGGTCATATAAGGCCTTGCTTTAACTTTATACTGAATGTTCATTAATATGTGCTACCCATTTCTTTTATGATGTAGCCCAATCATTGGCAATAACTATGTGTGACTAATGTTCCTTAGTATGTGTGATGTCCCACATTGGCCGGGGAGGAGAACAAAACACCCTTTACAAGGGTGTGGAAACCTTCCCCTAGCAGACACGTTTTAAAGCCTTGAGGGGAAGCTAGAGGGAAAGCCCAAAGAGGACAATATCTGCTAGCGGTGGATTTGGGTCGTTTCAGTATGTGTCGAAGTCTAGTTGATGAGTAGTGCTTTCTTTTTACCTGAACTGTACCTGAACTGTAAGCTAATGCCAAATTCAATTTTAAAAGTAATCAGAAAATGGTTCAAAATGAAATGATAAAACAATGGCATAGCACTAGACAAAAAACTGCTGAGAATTGTTATCACTTTCATCGTTTGAACTATTTTATTTGGATATATCATGTTGATTGTTAATGGTTTGTGAATCTGCTACTTCTTGTTCATTGATTTATCTTTGGCGAGTACATTTTGCTTATGACGTAGTTTCCTTAAGTTGCTGTCTAGTTAATTTTAAATACAGGATTGAGAACTTACGATTGAGTGCTTTGTTCTTTATATGATTTCAGTTCAACTACAGTTATCATCTGGCACTATTTGTTAACCCTGTTCAATGGATGATGTGAAGTTAACTGATCATACATCTTCTTCACAATCCTCGTTAATTTCCCAAGATGGTAGTCATTCTCTTGATGAAAATCCAAACTTCCTAGTTAACAATGGAATTCTGGATAAGAGCCAAGTTCTCTCAAATTCTGTTGCTAATGGAAAATTGGAAGGTAAAATTGAATGCTCTCCGAGCCCAGTTGATGGAACTGTGCGATCTGAAAGTCCACGTCAAATATCAGAAAATTCAATATTGCCTGCCGTAGAAGATGCTTCTAGTGATGCAAATATGAAGCAAGATAAACTTATTGCATCCAATAATTCAGGTCTGAGTTCAACAGTTCCAGATGATAGATTTGAGGAACACAATCCAAATACCTTTGTGGAAGACCCCGCAACTCAGTCTGTAGAAGATATGCCAGAGAAACGTCGTCAGGAACAATCTACAGTCCATAATGACTCTGCTAATGATGTCATTGTGCCATCTGTTTTCTCTTCAGTTGAGGATACGACTGTCAAACTTCCTCAGGGAAAATCACCAGTCCATTGTGATTCTGCTGCTACTAATGAGGTCATGATACCATCTGTTTTCTCTTCAGTTGAGGATATGCCTGAGAAACTTCCTCAGGAACAATCTCCAGTCCATAGTGAATCTGCTACTGTCAATGATGTCTTTATGCCATCTGTTTTCTCTTCTGAGGCAGTGGTTATAATGAATGAAGGTGTTGTACAATTAGACGGGCTTGCAGAGGGCGAGAGAGTTCCCGGTGGAAAAACTGAATCTGTTGATTCTCCAAAAGATGTGAAGCAAAGTGATATTAAGAAGCGCCTTATTGATACTGCTGCACCATTTGAATCAGTTAAAGAAGCTGTTTCGAAGTATGGTGGGATTGTTGATTGGAAAGCTCATCATATCCAAACAGTTGAGGTATATATACTACACTACTATTTGATCCTTACTACACTTCTATTGTGGCACCCTTTACACACATTGGGGTTGGGTAGCCATTCTTAATATTGTTGACTGAACGGATATAGTAACTGTGTCTTTTGTTGCTAGAGCATCATTAGAAAGGGTATTATTTGCTTGTCATGGTTTTGTCCCCGTAGGAGCAAAAGACGCAGAGTGTTTCTCATTGGTTATTGGCTTGATGCTTATAGTATCTGAAGCTGCTGAGTGCTGGTAATAGTAGCTTACTTCAAAAATGCGATATCTGTGGAAATGTTACTTTAGGAGTTTAGTTGTGACTAGACACGATGCTGGTAATTTGGGGACTGAGTTTTAAGTGTGAAGTGAAATGTTTGTTTGCTATCTTTCATGATGCTCGTGACAGTGTGCGCCCCACCATTTCATAATTATATTTTTCCAATTCTTCTTGAGTCATTGAAAAATATTTTAAATAGATCGACATTTTGTTCTGTTAAACGCATTCAACTTGATTGTATATGATTGGGTTTTAATCCCCGTTCATCTTCATTCAACTCCCAAGGTCCACATCTGTTCATCTTCATGTCTCGGACTAGATTCAAATGATTTTTCAAAATTGCTGATAGATAAATCTTTAAATGTTGCAGAGACGCAAACTTGTGGAGCAAGAACTGGAGAAATTACATGAGGAGGTTCCTGAATACAGGAGACTGTCGGAGGCTGCTGAAGACGAAAAAAAGAAAGTTCTAAAGGAGCTGGATACCACTAAGCGACTGATAGAAGATCTGAAGCTTAATCTTGAGAGGGCACAAACAGAAGAGCGTCAGGCCAGGCAAGACTCTGAACTTGCGAAACTCAGGGTTGAAGAAATGGAGCAAGGCATTGCTGAAGAGTCTAGTGTAGCAGCCAAGGTGCAGCTTGAGGTTGCTAAAGCCAGGCACATAGCTGCAGTTACAGAGCTTAAATCTGTCAAAGAGGAGTTGGAAGCACTTTGCAGAGAGTTTGCTTCTTTGGTCCCAGAAAAGAACGCAGCAATAGCTAAAGCAGAAGATGCTGTTGCTACATCCAAGGATGTTGAGAAGGCAGTGGAAGATCTAACTATTGAGCTTATGACCTGCAAGGAGGCATTAGAGTCTGCGCATGCAGCTCATTTGGAGGCAGAGGAGCAAAGAGTTGGTGCAGCTATGGCCAAAGAGCAAGATTCTCTTAACTGGGAGAAAGAGTTGAGGCGGGCCGAAGAGGAGCTTGAGAGTCTTAATCAGAAAATTAGTTCGGAAAAGGATCTGAAATCAAAACTGGACACTGCCTCAGATTTGCTAATAAATTTAAAAGTTGCATTAGCAGATTATATGAAATCAAAACTTGAAGAGGAGCCGGAGGATCCTGGAAAGAAAACACATATGGATATACAAGCAGCTCTTGCTTCATCGAGACAGCAACTTGAGGAAGTGAAACTCGACATCGAGAAAGCAACTTCTGAAATAAACTGTCTGAAGGTGGCCGCAACATCATTGAAAACAGAGCTTGAAAGTGAGAAATCTGCTCTAGCCACCTTGAGGCAAAGAGAAGGAATGGCATCTATCGCAGTTGCATCACTTGAAGCTGAAGTGGAAAGAACTAGGTCAGAAATAGCTGAAGTTCAAATGAAAGAAAAAGAGGCCAGGGAAATGATAGTGGAGCTTCCTAAAAACTTACAGCAAGCTGCACAAGAAGCCGATCAGGCCAAATCAGTGGCTGAGGTGGCTCGTGAGGAGCTGCGCAAAACAAAAGAGGAAGCAGAGCAAGCAAAGGCTGGAGCTAGTACTATGGAGAGTAGATTGCTTGCTGCCCAGAAAGAGATTGAGGCTGCAAAGGCTTCAGAAAAATTGGCGTTGGCAGCAATCAAGGCATTACTAGAGAGCGAATCAGCTAGAGAAACCAACAATGCGGACTCTTCCGCAGGAGTTACACTCTCAGTAGAGGAGTATTATGAGCTTAGCAGGTGTGCTCAGGACGCAGAGGAACAAGCCCACCTCAGAGTGGCAGCTGCACTGTCTGAAATTGAGGTAGCCAAGGAATCAGAGTCGAAAAACTTGGAAAAGCTGGAAGAAGTAACGCAGGAGATGGCTACCAGAAAGGAAGCACTGAAAATTGCAATGGAAAGGGCTGAGAAAGCCAAGGAAGGAAAGTTGGTTGTAGAACAGGAGTTACGAAAATGGAGAGCCGAGCACGAACAACAAAGGAAGGCTGGTGACTCTAGCATTGGATTGATGAACCCGATTCGCAGTCCAAGGGCGAGTTTTGAGGGGAAGAATGAACCATCGAATTCGATGTCTGACGCCCTTGCTGATCCCTCTATTTCAACAAGCCCCAAGGAAAATATGCAAGTAAGCAGTTATACAGCATTGGATTCGTTATCAGAAGCCAAGGCCCCAAAGAAAAAGAAGAAGTCATTTTTTCCTCGAATTCTCATGTTTCTGGCCAGAAAAAAGACGCAATCAAACAAGTCATAAGTCGTTTCGGGTACAGCCATCTTATTTACACTGTTGATATTTTCACCTCTCCTTTCGAGTTGGTTTTTCTCATGGGGAGATTATAAGCGCTGAGTTGGAAGAATTGCGAAATTGTACATTATGGTGGTTAATTCTTTTTTTGTATGATAAAAAAGGGGTATTCGTGCGACCAAAAACCCTGCCATCTGCTGCCGATGGGATTCAAAGATGAATAAGTTTCTACAGTTTGATTCTTGGATGATAGGCTGTTCGTAACATTGTCGTGTAAAAAAAAAGTCCGAAGGTTTGTGCTATCAGAGTGTGGATTAGATGCAAAATCTTTAAAAGTTGGACCAAATAAATACAAGTGCTATCAGAGTGGGTGAAAAAAAATTCAAAGCCTGTACAAGGAATAAAAATTGAGGTCGATATTAGAATAATTGCTCTCTCAATCGCAATTGATAAAGAAAATCTACCACGGGGCATCAAAGAGCTTAAAATAGAATACAATTACAAATACATTTAGAGAATTCATTAATAGATGTTTAAAACTACCCAAGGTATCTATAATATATAAGGTTTTAAACCTTACATGCCACTTGGAAAGAGGCAGCTACTATCTGCATCAGAAGAACAGAAGCCAGTAGCGGAGGATATATGCTGGCTGGTACTGAATCTCAGCCTCTTAACCTGCTGGATATACTGAAGGAACTAACTTTCATGGGCGTTGCGATCACCAATGGAGCCTCGGGCGAATCGGACACTGCAAATTTGTCGTGCATGAAACGACTATCAACGATGGAGTCATCTTTAAGAACGATCTTGTAGCAGTAACAGCTCTTTAGGCCCTCTTGATGGCGGTAGCAGTCGTGTGTCCCGTTTTTCACTTGTTGGAAGTTCCATATCACACTGAATTTGCCCACTGTCGCAACCAAATGGCGCTCCTGCTTCCCATCCTCAGTGACCTATAATAATAGTAATAATGATAATCTAAAATTTGTACGGAACATTATTTGGAGAGGAACGTTTGAGATAATAAACCTATATGCAAATGAGCCTAACGTAGCCTGGTTGTAGATCCTGATATGGAAGGAAACTTATATGCAAATGCTCATAGTAATCTATATATGCCTTTAAATTCCAAATGCCTATATGTTTTGCACTATGAGCAGTCATAACTTTTCAGCTTCAGTGATACTCAATTCCACTAGTATTAAGACAAATTGCTAATGTATCTCTGGCTATTTAAATTATGAAATGTTAGCAATGATTCAAATGGCTTTATCATCTTTTCTTCAATTGATCTATGGAAGATTTATGATCTCAAAAAATATCGTTTGTTAAGTATGACAACATTGCATGAACAAAGAAGAAACAGATGGAGAACCTATAGATCAAGAAGAACAAACAGGGGGACAAAGTAAAAGACCCAAAAAATGAAAGGAACAAAAACACGAACAGAGAAAAAAGGTGACACGTTATTGTTTTTGAAGCTGATAATTAAATTTTTTTTTGAATAAGCCTTTTCCAAAATGCAGCATGACGTTCAAACAAAACTAAATTCCAATGTGAAGCTGATGAACTAGTAATTGCTCGTGCCTTCATGCAGCAGCTAGAGAATGAAACGTTCATCTTACTACCCTTCGGCCTGTTGATTTGAATTTTCAATGGCATATTTAAATGTAAAAAAATTCCCAAAAGATTAAAGAAAAAAAGCCTATCACAGTGATAAAATCATTAAAACAGGTATCTTCTAGTAAGAGGACATGCGACGCATATAGGTCAAGAAAATTAAGAGTTGGAACAATTGAGAACACGAGAAACAAACATACCCATGAGAATTGAGCATTTCGAAACTTCTTGTCCGCTCCAGCTAAATGCGAATCCAGAGGAGTCAGTTTCAACAACCTTGGAGCTGAAATCCTATTCCCCATTCGACCAGCAAATCCAGTCTTCGTTTTCCCATCCTTATCGGTAAAGAGAGTGCAAATAAGAATAAGATAGGAATCAGTTGTTCCCAAAATCCACCGCCCGTCATAGGTAACATCTACATGTGTAATGGGTGAACCAAGGCCTGGAAAAGCTGTTTTTGCTTGTCTCATTGAATTGATAGAATACAACCTGATCTTTCCATCAAGCGACCCAACAACGATTGAGCCATCGCCAGTGGTTGCAAAGCACTGGAAGTTGGTGCCTCTAGAAAACTGATGCCCTTGAGCCCAATTTAAGACAGGAGTACTAGCATTAGCAAGATTTTGAACCATTCCTTTCCTGTCTCGCATGTCCCATCTGCAAAGCCTGTTGTCATCCAAACCCAAAAATGTGGAGCCCGACGGATCCAACTGAGCACCTTTAGAATCATTAGTAATATCCCTCATTGAAATATCAACCCCATCCTTCCCGAACTTCCACTCAGTAACAACTTTCCCTGTTTCAATGTCAAGCTGATGAAGTCCAGACGTATGAGGCTTCCCCTCGTTCATTGGACTCATCAAAAGCATATTGGTCTCGGCCTTCATTAGAAGAGCCTTCTTCGGCGTTGAGTAGACCAAACTAGAACCACCTTCCCGAGGACCCCGATTTCCATGATCAATATTCACATAAATACCCTTTCCCTGAATTCCATGAGAGAAGTTCTTGACGACTTGAATTCCTGAATCACCGACCAAGAAACTGTTGTCTAATGCCCCTAAAGCTAAACTCTTAATCCCACCATCAGCAGCTTCCTCAAACTCCTCCATTAAATCGTTTGCCCTGGCAGGCGTAGCCGAATTCGGACTTTTTGAGAAACTCTCCTCCGCATCTTCCCACATTGAATCATCCGCCGCTTGAGGGTTCGCCCAACCAATAAAGTCCTTCCCATAAACCTTCATTTTATTCACCTCCGTAGCCTCAAGACCATACGTATTCTCAAATAAACACCCCTGAAATTTTTCCACAAAAATCTTATAATCTTCGTTGCTGAAAAATTTCAATGCCCAGACACCCTGCGCGACGAAGTCCACGCGGCGCTGGTCTCCGAATGTTTTCAATTGCATTTCAGACGATACTCTCACTCTAATTTTCGATCCAACCTTCAAAAACCACCAAGAGTCATCTTGCCCTTCCTCCTCTTCCTCTTCCTCTTCATCATCATCTTCCTCCTCTTCCTCATCGTTGCCACAATCACCAATTCTGCAGGACTTGAGAAAAGAGTAAGAAGCGAGTTTTTCGGAGACAACCCACTTCGCCTTAGGAGTATTGCCATTAATATGGAGATAAAGCTTCACTGCATTCTTCGGGCTTGGCTTCTGAGACGATCCGTACTTGAGCTTAAGAGCCCTGAGTTTCGCGTCGACCTCGTCCACTGACGATGGCGTTTTCGGTCGTCGTTCTGAAGATCTTTGGTGCTCCTCTTCAACATCCTCGTATTCTTCCTCTTCATTCGTTACCTCGTTCCCATCTTCACGATCGGAATCTGACAGTTCCAGACCCTCGCGACTGTGAGATGCTCCCATTATCAATACCTTCGAGTTTGAATCAAAGAAATGCAGATCGAATCAAATCGAGGATGATGCGGAATCCAGAGGGCAGATGGAGACGTAGAAACGAGGAGGCGCCAATTTGGAAATTTGAAAATCTGGAACGTTTCGGCCAGTAGTGATCCTTTCTAGGGCTCCTCTTTCAAAAAGACGACAAAACCGGTTACTTGTTACCGCCAATAACCGGTTGCCTTGGGCTTATCTGAAAGCTCCGTGAAATTGTGAAATCCAATTTACGGTAAAAAAAGAACAAGAATTTGGGAAGAAGGAAATAAATAAATAAATAAATAAATAAATAGAAAAATAAAAGATTGAGGGCATCTTGTAATTTCGTTCATTAAAAAAGAACTATAGCCGGAATTTTAAAATCACTACCGAATCTACGTGCTTGCTTGCTGCCGGTGTAAACTCGTGGAATCAATGTGGGCTTCTATTTATTGGGCTTTACTTTGGGCTCAGATGTCGGCCCATATTATAAACTGCGTTAGTAGTGTGCTGCGGTGTTTTATTGGGTGAGTGGATTGGACGAATTGGGAATTAATTAAAATATTAACTTCATTAATATTTTAAGTTTAAAACAATTCAGAAATTTAATAAACACTCTTAAAAGTGGATAGATCAAATGAAAGATCTTCTCCGAAACTTTTCTGAAAACGGAAATGGAGCTCTAGAGAGGAATTATTTCATCAATGGCGGATATTCAAGGATTCATTTCTTTTTCTCCCAGACAGCATACTGCATTCCAGAAGTGGCAAGCTCGTAATCCGACGGAATCAGATTTCCAAGATTGGTGTTCGGTCCGATCTTCATTATAATTTTCCCATCAATACCAGCAACGTATAGATCGCCGTCAGAAGCCATAATATTCACCGTGCTCCTTTCCCCAATCCCATTCCTTGTCCTGATTGCGCTCAATTTGATTAGCTCCTCCTTCAATCCCCATTCAACGAAATGGTCGTAGAACTGCAACAAACAAACAAACAAATGTTCAAGCCTACACTACGTGAATTACAGGTATTAAGTTTCGAAACTCAAAAACCTGAACCGTATTGTTGGATGAATTACAATGGAGGGCGTTCCAGGATGCGTGAGAATGTACGCATATCCCTGAATCACTTTATCGGAAGGGAACGGCCAGAGTTTTTGCGTCGAACCAGTGTCGTGGTTGTCGATGAAAGTTACGGCACTTTCCGGCTTGATTCCGATGAATCCCGGCGGCTTCCCGTTAGGATCCTTCAACCTCCATAGCTCCCCCTGAACGGCAGCTTGAAGAATACCTTTGGTTGTGAAATCAAACGCTGTGACAGTATCGCCCGAATCCCTAACCCAGTTTGCAAGAGCTTCGCGATGTCCGTCTTGGTTTGGATCGGGCTTCCCGTCCGGTCCAGGTGAAAGTGAATCCCATTTCTCACCGACTGCGAAATCTGGCGAGGTTTGATCCATGTAGAGTTTTGTAATTTTTGGTGCATAGCCCTTTACAAAGTCGAATCTCCATCCATCGAACCCTATTTCTGTTTTCAACCATCTCATCCATTCTGATAATTCATTCTGAACCTGTGGGTTGAGATGGTCAATATCAGGTGCTGCTGAATAGGGTTCCCCACTGTCTGGATTGCCCTTTCCATCGGAATATTCAGTGTCATCGCTGCAAATGAAGGAAGGACCCCAATCAAGGCGGCTATCTGGAGTTCCCCCCTCAAAAATGCACCAAATTCCTCTCTCGTCCTGTTTATCTGCT